GCCCGCTGGCTGCCCGGCCTGAGGTTGCGGAGAGCCGGGCCCGGGAGGCGGCGGCGGCCGGGTGCGCCCGGGGAGGGCGTCTCCTCCGCGCCTCAGGCTCCTGGCCGCGGCCGCGGCACCCCGCTGGCCCCCCAGGAGCTCTTGAAGGCTGGCACGGCCCGCAGTGCCCCCCCAGGAGCGGGCACCGGCACGGGAGAGGCGCAGGCTTCGGTCCGAGTACCGAAACTGGGCACTGAAATACTCCTGCAGCGAAGAGATTGGGGAGGAGCAGAAGGAAAATGGCACTAAAGCTCGTTTCCCTATTTAAAAATAAACATATTTTTTTTCTTTTTTATCACTGGAAATGAGATGACTTGCAAGTAGGTGTGGGATGATACTGGGGAATTTTATTTCTAGGAGTACTTTAAAGTTGAATATTGAATTGCTAAGTTTGGACGCAGATTTTTTTTTTGTTATTATTACAGAAAGTGCCTTCAGAGTGGTGTTGAAACATCTTTAGAATTAAGACACTGTGTAACACTGTGTTTTGGATTTTCTTCCTGTCCCCCACGATAAGGCTGAACACAAGGCAGCGTAGGAGGCACAGGTCACAGGATACAGAGATCATAAATTGGCCCTGGATGCTGAGAAAACAGGCATAATGGGTCCAGGACTCTGCTAGAGACTTGGTGAACTCTTTCCAGCCTGAAGATGTTTCTAACCCCAAAGATGAGAGGATCGGTTAGGAGAAAAGAAGGGTCTTGGCTTTCATTTGTAAGATTTTTTGCTCCTGATAGTGTATGGGAGAGGGAGAGGGTGAGATGAATGGGAGATGTTACAGCATTTAAAGTGCAAGGTTTTAGTTTAGTGTACTTTTATTGTTTGGGTTTTTTTCATTGCAAAGTTTTCCGTTGTTTAGATGCCTCTATCACTAGAAACATTAGTGTTTGTGGGATATAATTGATTTTTATGTTGGCAAATTAAATACTTCATTAAGTCCAGGTACTGTTTCTTACTGGCATAGCATGTGAAGCCATGGCTTCTGCCATTCTCTGACTTAGGTATGTGCAAACTTTTTATTTTTCTGGATGATTATGCTGAGTGTAGCTGACTCTGCCTTTCCTGTGAGAACACGGTATGTAAACCGAATAGTCAAGTATGGTGAAACCTGTTGCAGTGAATATGCTTGAGGGATAAGTTTACCTTTTGTTAGTTGATGCCTTGGTAATACTTGAGACAAATGAACTGGTAGCGTACCAAACTTTCTACTGAGGAAATACCTATTTTTAATAACTGTGTGTGTATAATATACTTCTGAAGTAAATATAAGTAGGCTGCAGTTCTCAGTGTACTTCATAGTGTTTCAGTTGTTCTGTCTTTTGGTAAAGAGAAGGAAACTTTCTCTGCTTTGAAAGAAACAGAGTAATTTGGTAAAATAGAAGGTTATTGGAAGAACGTCCTGCTGGTCTCTTTAAATGTTTCAGAACTCTAGGGTTTTTTCCGTTGTATTTCCTGCTGACAAATTTAAGGTGGATACAAGGAAAGAACATAAGCATGGAAAAGTCCTTCTTGAAGCACAAGAATCTAGATGTTTGAAAAAACAGTCATCTTCTTCTTTGCTAAAACGGTGTGCCTACCCAGTATACTTTATGGACTCTCTTAATACATGGCACATTTTGATTGCAACAGCAAGCATTGATTGCAACAGCAAATGCAAGATTGACTGCTATATTTGTCTCACTTAGCTCTGCCAGAGAAGGGAAGGTGCTTTCCTCCCTGTCCCTTGCTCTTTTGCCCAAGATAACTTTGGACTCTGCCTTTCACACCTGGGAGGAGTTGGGAACATGAGAGACGGGAAGAGAGGAAGGCATGAAATAATATACCTCCATGACAACTTGTGCTACCAGTACTGAGCACAGCTGAGGCTTTCTTTAAGAAATACTGAACTTAATGATTTAATGTATTAAGAAATCAAAAAGGACTTTATCTTTGAGAGCAAATCAAAGTTTTACCTACACTTGAAAATTGTTAGGAATTTCTCAGCTATAGAACTTTTCTCCTTAGACCTCCTCTTGTTATTACTAGAGCTAACATGTAGTTATGGGATATGCATTAACTAATACACGTAGTATAATGTGGAAGCAAGCCTGTTACTCGACATTCTTCCCCCCCATGTATATGTTACAAAAGGATGAATAATGGTTAAATGCTGAAAAGAGCTTATTTCTCAGAGCTTTTTTTGTCAAAAAAAGGTAGTGATGATCAAAGAAATGCTTGCATAATGAAATAAGTTTCAATGGTTTTGTTTCCATTTGTATTTAATTTATAATTTTTGTACTGTGATTAAAGACCGAAGCACCAGTGTGTAGCCAAGTGTTCTCAACTGGGAAGAACTGTTAAAATAAGTTGCTTTTTTTTCTGCTAGTGCTTGAAAGCCTGAGAAATATTAGCCACACTGCCTTTTATTGTTATTTTTCTATTAGATGATCTTTGGAAATTATTTTTTTTTTACAGTGGACCAATTACATTCATGGGTGGCAGGATCGATGGGTAGTTCTGAAAAGCAACACACTCAGTTATTACAAGTCTGAAGATGAAACGGAGTATGGCTGCAGAGGCTCTATCTGTCTGAGCAAGGCTGTGATTACAGTAAGTGCTATTTCATTATTTCCATCTTTTCATGTTTTGAGGTGTTGCAAATTTGTAGGTTAATGTCTGATGAAAGAAAACACAGCTATGGCAAATTCTGTTAGGTCATCTATTATGAAAATTAGTGGTATCAGTGGAACACTGTGGAGCAGGGCAAGGAGTTCCTGATAAGAAAACAAGCTGTTCTCATTTGCGGCTGCAGTAAGCAGCTTTTAATCTCTTACATTAGAGGTTTCTGTGGGTAGGGGTACAGTTTGCCTCAGGAGGCTGAAAAGTTTTTTTCCAGGGGTTGGTCTAGGACCCTGGACCAGCTTCCCAAAGGAGGTAATATGTGTCACAGTCTTTACACTTTGCACTAGAGAGAAAAGATAGTAGTTCTTTGACTGTACTTTCTGAACATGACTTCGTAGAACATTTCCAAAAGAAAATGTTCTATCCCGTGCTTCCTTCTCTGAACAAGTTAGTGTGGTGCTATTTTTGTCTAATGCTAAAAGATCTGGTATTACACTGGTAAGAATAAAGAGCCTACATACAAATGAAATCTCATGAAGATGAATTGACCTTAGAAGATAAAGAAAAAAATCTGCTTTTTGCGGCTTTCAGAATTATGTATTAATTACGCTTGCCAAAAAAGCGTGTTTCTGTGTTACTGTTCAATAGTGAGTCCAGTTATGTGATTTAGAGAAAAAATATCTGAACTTCTGTGTAGCATACAAGTTCCTAGAGTAGCAGTATTAAATCTTACTATTTATGTTCTTATTTCACTAAATGTGGTGTTTGTTTTTTTCCAAACTGGATTAAGGGTGACAAATGAGAAGGTTTTTTTCTTACTAATATTCAGCTTACAAATAGAATTTTATTAAAAACATCTTGGCTTGGGGAAAAACAAAACAAACTGGATTGATTGCATCAACTGTATCTGTTTTGGAGAAAAGCTTGGGAAGAAAAAAGCAAATTTTTACCTTTAAATGTCAGGTATTGCAGTCATTTAAAAATTAAACAGATCACCTCACTTATTTTAAAACTTTTAAAACTGCTTAAACTTTTAGAACTTGTTCAAGATCTAACTTATTTGGGTATATATCATGGGCAACAGCAATCTCTAGGAATTCTGGTTTAAGTGTACTTTTGGGAGTCTCTAATAATACCAACCTCTGATCTGGACTTTCAAAACACTCAAGTTTGGTAGCATGAGGCTTAATGTGCCAACCAGGCAGAGACAGGAAGGTGGTGGCAACAAGGTGGATCAAGGGACACCTGGAAACATGCTGTTGAGCACACCTCAGCGGCCTGAATTCCAG